TCAAGCAGCAGATGTGCATACTTGTAATGGCACTGACCCAGGGTTCAGCTCCCACTTTTGGCCCTAGAAAGGTGTGTTGCTCTTACAGAAAATACTTCTCTTTTTTTTTTTTTCAATATTGTGCAAGAATGTGATGCTTGTAAGGGCAAAGTGCCTCCAGCAGCCCTGGCATCATGTGAATTGACACTCTACAAGCACAGTTTTGTCACTGCCTATCAGTCCTGACATGAAACATTCTCTGCTATTCTAGTCTTGTCCTCACCCAACCCTCCGCACACATCTTGCAGCACTCCTCACTCTTAACAGGTGGATAATAGTTTCTTCTGTTTCAATCTGGAGATCCCCACGTGGCTCTCCTAATAGGCCCCACCTCCCTCTGCTATTCCCCTAACACAGGGTTGCCCAACCTTTTTTGCCCTGTGAGCAGAATGAGCAGTGACCTGTCTGTCTGCGGGCTAGATTAGACTGGTGGGTCTGATGCAGTGCATGGGGCAGTCACAGTGGGGACCTGATCTGGCTGTGTGGGGGCAGGGGTGTGACCTGGCCCCAATCCAGCCATGCGGGACTTGGAAATTTGGCAGTGGGGGAAGGGTAACAGTATTAATTGCCATTGCTCCCCCACCACCAAATTTCCCAACCCATGGAGAGCCCCACAAACTGGATTCCATGGCTCCACAGGCCAGATTTGGCCCGTGGACCAGGGGTTGAGCACACCTGCCCTAACATAAGGCTTCCTATGGGCCTTCAACCCTGTTGTATAGCTCCCCTTATTCCAGCCCTCAGTACTTGCACATAGCTATGCTAATGTGCTTGAGCCTTGGCTTTCAGCAGCTCTTGTTTGCCCAGTGAGATCATGGGAAATGAGCATTACTGGTAAGTGTTCTGCTTCATCCTAGCCTACTTGCTTTGTGGGTCAAAAGTGCTTCCAGTGATGCTTCCGTGCACAGATAGGCCTGTTGTCACCTCAAAGAAAGCTGCCACCTTGTCCTACTCTATATCTCTGCTGATAAAGGGGCCATGCCCCCAGTTGCTAAGGTACCTTTGTCCTTTTTTCTTCCATCATACCCCTAATTTTCAAGTCCTGCTTCAGAAGCCAACTATTTAAATGTAATGCTTGCTAGCATCAATATGCAGAGGATGGTGCCTATATTATGCTGTCCCCTGATTAAGGCTCTTGAAGCCTCATCAATATGTAGAGCAGAAGAAAGCTATTGGATGCTGCAACCTTTTCCTATCCAAGGCTGCCCAACTGGCTTGTTTACACAGAGGTGACTTGCTCTGGCAGCTAACAGCCCAGCACCATAGAGTAATGATCAAAAGCCACAGACAGGAGTGAAGAGCAGCTTGATATGACAAGAGACTTTTGGAAGGGCTTTTTGGTATGAATGCAAAATGTCATTTGCATGAGAGCACACTTTAGGGGGATGAATTAAGAGTCTTTTTTACCATGGCTTATCATGCATCATAGAGCACAAAAGTCATGCCCCAGACCATGAGCCTGAACCTGGAAGGTTTTGAGCACTCATAACTCTCAGTGATTTCCATGAGAGCTGCTAGCTCATGACGGCATGCTCCAGGAAAAAGTCCCAGAGCACACCATGTGTCCAACTTTAGTATGGCCATTAAAAGTACAGATATCCTGCTTATAAATGTCACATAAATGCAATACATCCTTGATTAATTCTACACAGCTGGCCAGAGGTGACAGAAGCCTGAGGGGCTGTTTAATGTCTAGCCAGCTTTAAAATCCAAGGAAAGGGTCAGGAAACTTCTATTTTCTAATAGGTCCACATGCCTTGGAATATATAAGTACAGACATCTGGCAGGCATCTGAAAGAGAATAACAGTGCAGGGATATAAAGTTAGTCTTAGAGCTGGGATCCAAAATAATGCAGAGCCAAAGTTGGTTGGAGGGAGGGGGTAGCAGTGAATATAGTAGCAATGGTACTGTAGTTAATGTGACATTTCCAGATTTTGCAAGGTTAAAACCAAGGTCAGAGCAGACGGCTCGCACCTGTCAGGCAGTAGAAATGTTCCCATCCAGCTTTCCTCCCTGGTGCTGCTGCTCTGCGTGCCTGAAAAGATGTTTGTAGCATAGTT